ATGAGACTATTTGAATATAAAAATGACAAGGTTAAGGAACATCAAATATATATGAATCCAATCTTTTATAACGATACTAAAAACAGTTTTTAAAATTGGTTCCCTCTGAAAGATGCTAGAGAACCAACTCATCATTTTGAAAACTGCAAAGAAAGGATGTGGGGGAGAAATCAATGGCACAGACTGCCTGTCCTTGAGCAGCTGTATCTGGGAGGATCTGCACAGCGAGTGAGGGAAGGGTTACGTCACAGCAGTATTTCCGCTGGTAAAGCGAGAAGAATGATGAAACACCATCCACTGAAACCTGTGAGCTGGAACTCGATGAGACCTGCCTTATTTTTCTGGGTCTCCCAAGTTTCTGCCTTGATAGGGGGCAGCCTCTCACAGTGCAGTGTAGTGAATTTAACTGTGCAATGTGGTGAATTTTATTTAATATGGCTCTTCTAGCTATAGCCTTTCTTACTCCCACCAAATGACCTTTGTTTTCCTGATGGGCCTGGGGAAGAAGACTTGGGGGTGGGGGGGTGGGGCTGTTGATTGGATCACATGATTCAGCTCTTAGTGACTATTAACATGGTTAATTGTGGTTGACAGACAGCTGGGTATAAAAGGAGCCCTCTCAGAAGCAAGAAGGGGGAATCTCACTTCCAGAAGAGAGAAGAGCCAGGAGAGGAGCATATCCTGAGGACCCCAACATTTCTCTGCACTGAACCTCTTAGATTCAGGAGACAGCTTTGATACCAGAGGGGAGCCAGCAGCAGAACCAGGAGCTAGAGACAGGGCAGTGCACTTCCCAGCCCACACAGTTAAATGAAGCTAACTTTGGGGCAGGAGGTTGGCTTGTGGAGTGGGCTACCTCTGGGCACTTAATTGGGGGAGCTGAGTTGCTGACCCAGAGTTGGGGCTGGATGCCTTTGATCAAGACTGTGGGCATTTAATGGCGGCTCTAAAAGAACTTTATAACATTGCCCAAGCTGGCTAGAAGCCAGGTCAAGAGGCTGAGGGCCAAAGAGGGGCATGCCTGGGATGAAGGCAAAGAAACTGTCCTGACTGAACAACTGTATCCTGAGAACTTCTCACCTCAGAACCTGCTAACTCCCCTAATAAACACCATAACTGTGAGCATCTGCTGTGAGTTCTGCATGGCCACTGCAATGAATGAGAGCCCAGCTGAGAAGTCAGTGCCATGGGGGGGGGACAGGTGGTGTCAGAATCAGTAAGGAAAGTTTGGAGGGTGGAGGCATGTCTGACCTCTGCTGTGTGGAAATCGGCCTTGGGAGCTGGAGGTGATCAGGTGTGGCCTCCACATGTAAAGAGGCAGAGGAGAGACTGACTGATGGATTTTAAGCAGTTGGCTTATGTGATTACTGGTGCTGACATGTCCAAAATCCACAGGCCAGGTAACAGTCTGGAAACCCCAGTGGGATAGCTATGTCACACCCTTGAGGCAGACTTCTCTCTCTCTGGGAAACCTCAGTTTTGCTCTTAATCAATAGCCTTTAACTGGCTAGATGAGGCCCAACCACATTACTAAGTTAGTCACTTCCCAAATACCTTCAGAGCAATATCTAAACGAGAGCATGGGCAAATAACTGGGCTACATAACCTGGCTGGCCAAGTTGACCCAGAGAATTAAGCAGTGGGTTAAAATGCTAAGCACTTAGCAAGAATCAGACAACTGGCACCAACTGCATACTTCACAAGCACGGGAGCCAGTGAAACATTAAAGCCCATTTCCTTAAGAATATTCTTGATGAAGCAGTAAAAATCATTAGTTTTATAAAAGGTAAGCCTCTGAGTACATGCTTTTAAAACGATTGTCTGGGATCAAATAGCAAGTGAGCATATAGTCCTTTGGCCACATGCTTGAAACGGGGAAAGCACTGTGCAGCTGGGTTGTGCACTAAACGAGGTGCTGCTGCACTGACGTAACTTCTATTTGAAAGAACGAATGACAAATGTGGTTGTTCAGCCTTTGGTATCAGGATGAACAACTGAGTATTTGTTGATAAAATCCAAGCTGCCAAGCCAAACTTGGGATTGGGAAAACTTTATTCCACCACTTGGCAAATTTGAGTTTTCTAAGACTTTTCTGATGGAATTGTTAGGGAAATTAAACCTAGATACTGTATAATGAATGGAGTGTTAGGTGCCCTGGTGGCACAGCGGTTAGCATCTGACTGCTAAGTGACAGTGTCAGCCATCTGAACCCACCAGCTGCCCCCAGGGAGGCAGATGGGGCAGTCTGCTTCTTGAAGGGCTGACAGCCTGGGGGATCCCTAGGAAACAGGTCTATTCGGTCCTACAAGGTCACTATGAGGCGGTATCAACTTGAAGGCACTGAGTTTGGTCTGGGTTGGGCTTAATAAAGCAAAGGGCCAACATTTGGAAGATCTGTGTAACTCAGTGAACCAATGTTTTCCAAACTACCAGTGCATGATATTATCAAATGAAGTCTGAGTCAAAGTGGCATTCAAAGAACAGTAAGAAAAGTTCATTGGTGATGGGCTCGGAGTCCACACTGTAACTAACCTTTAAGAAATCACCACTTATTGAGTTCCAATGTCATACCAAAGAAGAAACTCCAAAATTGCTCAAAAAGGCTATTAAAATACTTCTCCATTTCCAATTACACACTTTTGATAGGCCAGATTTTCTTCATATACTTCAATCAAGATAATACATTACAACGGACTGATTGTGGACACAGAATTGATAGTCCAGCCATCTTCAACAAGCCAGACACTGAAGCTATTTGGGAATAAAAATGCTGATGTTGATCTTCTCGTTTGTTTTTGTTTGCGAAAACATGGTTATTTCTTATAAACAATAAATTTATATAAATTCATCTGATCAACTTATTATCTTGAATAAAAAGTGCCTCAGTCGTTATTAGTAATCCCGTAAGTACCGATAGACAGGACTCAACATAAATAAAAGCTCTTTGGGGCCCACATGCCATCAGGATGCGTTCTCAAAGACAGGAGTAAATAAGAGTCTCTGCTACCACATCCGTCATGCTTTTAAATTATAAATAAGGTAGTGACTCTCACTTCCCACCAAATGTCTAATTTTTGCAGCATATAGCCCACATGCACAACCTAATGAAAGCAAAGGAATGGACTATGCCCTGACAGTTCGATAATGGGTCTTCGTGGAAACCCACAGAGATCTCGACTTACCATCAGCTGTGCAGCCTGGCATGGGAAGAGGGGAGATAATGTTTCAGGACCACAGACTGCTGTCATTCTCCCGGGAGGACACTCGGGCTACATGCACCTGCTCTACCACAAAAGCCCGGTTGAAATGGCATCTCATTACCCAGAAAGTCTGAACATTCAATCTTGTTCAGGCTGTGTTACTTTCATCAAATTAATTTTGGATTAACATTTTAGTAGTTTTATTCCCTGATGGCCCCATCGTCTCACGACTTCACAGAGACACTAGGTCTCTGTGCTGCATTAGACATCTATTTTTAATTTCTCTGATACATCAAGGAAAAATCTGAGAGCTAACTGTTTCCAAAAACACAGGGGCATGCCAGACACTAATTTCCTTCACTTGAAGTTCTCTCCTTCCTCTTTCCTCACCACCCCCACACCCTCTCACCTCCAAACGCAATTACTCAGTACTCCCAGAGCCCACTCTATCCCTTCAGGCCTCCACAGACACACTTCATTCTGCCTCCAATGCCCTTCCCCTCCTCCTCTGGCTGGAGAATTCCAATGCATTTTCAAAGGAATGAGACTCCTTGATGCCTTCCCTGGGGTTCTTGCGCCCTCTTCTGGGCTCCTACAGCATTTTCATAGGTACCTTACCAGCAGGATGTATCAGAATATAGCCTCCAGAGAGGTCATCTGGTGCAGGTGGAGCCAGACTGCTTAGGTTCAAATCCTTGCTCTGTCCCTTACTATATGAACAACCTTGAGGAGCCCTGGCAGCAGAGTGGGCTTTATGTTGGGCTGCTATCCACAAGCACAGCAGGTCATCCGCCCACCAATCGTTCTTCATGAAAGGAGGCTCTCGGCCTCCTCAGTGGAACAGCCTCGAGGGACTTCCTCTGGCCTTCCCAAGGTCTCGACCACTAGTTGTATGAACGATGGCATTCCTGACACTCCACAAAAGTAGGAGTTGAGTTATGGAAGAAAGACATCGTTTCCTCCAAGCCAGGGGGCCAGCAAGGAAGGCAGGATTAGAAAGGCTTGCCAGAGACTAAAATCCAACGCCTAAAATAAGCTCTTTTGTAAACAACAGAATTATGAAAGCTGAGTAGCAAACTTTAGAATTTAAGGAAAAGAAAAAATTTCATTCCTAAAGAGAAAAATTCTCTTCTTAAAAGCACTGAAAAAGGAATGTAGATTCCTTACTTTCTCCCTGAACTTTTTTGTTGACTCTACTCATTAAAGCCATGCGAACTGTAGTAAGTGTCGGTGGCTGAGGGACTTTCCACGGCAGAGAAAGCAAAAACACACCTGGTTTTTCACAAGAAACTCTGGAGCAGTTTAATAGCCATCCTCAGACCAAAAAAAATTCAGAACCTTCTCTGAGGACCTTCAGTTAAGAGCAGGGTTTGCAAATTAGCAGTCACTGCAAACCAGCATCAACTAATTCCTACATATAAAATCACAATCCTACATAGACTGCTAAATACAGCGGTAGCTTCATTTGATGGTAGAAGGATTCTTTTACCATGAACAGTTTCAAACTTGACAAGAAGAAAAGTGGCACGAGACTAAAGGATTTCTTGGTTCCCACCCCCCAAAAAAACCACCCCACTAACCAGGGGCCCTGCAACTGCTCAAGTGTCAGTCAAAACACTGCTCTCTCAAACTCGGATGGGGCTCAGGCTGGGAGCTGCTGCCAGAGGGGGTTAGCAGAGCCACCAAGTGCCAGGAAGAACAGCCCAGACTCGCCCAGTGAGCGACAGGGTTGGGTGTGTGATCTTTCAAATAATCACGTCCTCCAGAAGTCATGGCCACCTGGCTTCCAACCCTACTTACGAACTCATAGTCTCCATCCTGCGGCACCTTCCAGTCTGAAGAGTTTCTCAGTGGGCCCGGCGTGCTCTTGCCAATGCTGTTGGCCTGGTGCTCCTTTTCTTTTTGCTCGAAGTACTCAAGGAAAGATGGCTTTGCAGGCTGCATGGTCTCGTCTCTTCCTAAAAAACCGGAGAAAGGGAGGATGAAGAGGAAAGTTTGTCTTGCAAGCACAGTTAATGCATTAACAGGCCTCTCTACAGACGGGCTACCTACAGTCTCCGCATCAGTAGCTCTCCTTGTTAGGGGAGGGATCCTTCAAAGCTCTAGCCAACATCACAGGTAATGGACAAGCATTCAAAATATTTCTCCCAGAATTTAAGAGTTCCCCTAAAATCCCTGCAAAGGTCTCCCTTTTTTCTAGATAAAAGATGATGCAATTATTCTGAATAAGTTCCAAGCAATATTCTCAGAGCCTCTGATAGTTCCTTGGAATATTCAAAATGAAAACAAAGATGTATTGGTAACGTCCAGTATTCGCCACAGGCACAGGAGTAGGGAGGGACGATGATATAGTAGCACAGGATAAGACAATGATTTCCCTTGATAACCTCATGATCCACCTGGATCCATAAAAGAAGTATGCATGAAAAAGAAAATACAAGTAAATCTTAATCCAGTCAGTCACTCTATAAAATATTATGCAACTATAAAAATGTTATGAAAGACAAATACATTTGTAAATGTTATTTACAAGTAATTTACAGAAAGTATGGGGAAAAACAAGATGTTAATATATGTGACCTCAACTTTATAAGACTATAAGCATGAGAGGCAAAAAGTAAAATACGGAAAGAAAACATAACAAAATATTAGCAGTACCTGCCCTGATAGTTCTGGCTTTCTGTTTACTTCTTTTTTGTGATTTTTCTTTTTTCAAGAGCATACTGTGTGTTAAATTAATAGAACTGGTGATACAAAGTCACATGCCCCAAACCTGGAACAAAGTGGTGCAATCTGGGAAGACTGGAAGTAGAGGCCTTAGGTTGGTCCTGAACAAACCACCAGGGCAGAGCCACCAGCCAAAAATAATAAGAACGACAGAAAAAATAACAAGAGTCTTACCAGAATTGGCTTTCAATCCTAGCTCAACGATCCTACCTCACCTGCTCTAATGCCTTTGTGCCTGTGCTCAACCCATTGGACTATATCGGAAAGCACAAACGCTTTTCTAGTTCTCTCTGTGAGCCTGTGGGCTTATACTGACCTTTCCCCCAGTAACCACAGGAAGTCCAGAGTCCTCAAAAGTTGATTGGGGCGGGGGAGGGGGAGAACGACCAAAGGTGGGGTGTCTAGAAAATAAAGAATAAGTAGTGCTTCTCTTCTGGTACCCTACTGCCAAGAAATCTTATCTCCTGACACTTGCCTAATTTCCAGGCAGCGCAGCGACTGCCCTGAGACGTCTGGTATCTTGCTCACTGCCATCACTGCCAGGTCCCACAGCAGCCGGTGCCCGCCCCACTGACTTGGGGTACACACAGCACTGTTAAGACCCGGCAGTGAGCATGTGGTAAATGAGAGTCTTGTTTTGTTTGCTCTCAGGATGATGATTAAGTGCTTTTCATACTTATTGTTTAATTTTTAAGTTAAAGCTATTGGTTCATACTGTATTTCTACCAGAATGGGTATCTGAGGAGTCCCTGAACAGGGCCAAGCAATTCTGACAGAGCTACTGATTACTGACACATACATTATATGAGGGGGTTTCCAAAAGTGCTTGGAAAATGGTATTAAAAGATAATGGAATTTTTCCACACACTTTCGAAGCCCTCTCGGGCTGTGCACTTTCACACAAAATATCAGGATTACAAAGAGCAATCAGGTGACCAGAATGGAAAGTCCAGATACAAAACAGAGCATCCAATGGCGACCTGCTCGTTTGGAAAAAGATGAAAGTGGATCCATCCCTCAAACCTTAAACCATAAAAACTCCAAATGGGTAAGAGCTCTAACTGTAAAGGAAAACCCGTAATAAAGCCTAGAAGAAAACATGTGTGAATTCATTTAAAACCTGGGTGTTAAAAAAACCCTTCTAGCTTGGACAAAAATCCAAATGCAATGAACTCAATAAAAAGAAAATCTATGTGTGGTAAAAACATCATATATAGAGAGATTTAAATAATAGGCATATATATGTACTACAGGCAAGATAAGAAATTAAATGACAATCTGAAAATTGGTAATTTAGAAAATAATGGTAACAAATACCACAACATTTAAAAAAATAAAAGCTTAAGGAGTACTGTATTTATATATGACAGCAATAAGTTCCCAATAAAAACAAAAATCTAAAAAAAAAAAAAAAAAAGGTCACAAGGTGAATTGAAGACTTGAGAAGAGAGCACTGCGCAGACACCCAATCAGCCCTTGAGTGCACGAAACCTGCTGGGGTCACTCCTCGGAGCTATTATCCCTTAAGTTTCATACCCAAAACCCCAAAACGCACCCACATGTGGGAAAAGGATGCAAAACGCTACACCTATAAAGGGGACCTGATAGATCTAAATATCAAAGTGTACAATGGGGCATCCTAGTTGTATAAATAGGGCATTTTGTGGAAAAAAGAATGAAACGATGATGAAATTCATCCACAAATTTTTAAAAGCCCCCTCATGTATCTCCAAGCTTTCTCCACTGAGAGGTCTTGAAGTCAGGATACTCCATTAGCAGGAAGCACGCTTAGCACCCGGAGCACCCAGGTTTCCAAATGCCATTACCCACGAAAAGAGACTCGGGTTTCTTTAAAAAAAAGGGCGGGGGGCAGCTTTCTGGCCTAGGGCAGGAAAAGTACAAGGTGGTCCTGGAACGTCTTTTGTCCCCCAAAGTAAGCAAGTATTCGAGAACTTATGGGGACACCTTCAAAAGCCACCTTGAGCTTCAAAATGAAAGCTCTGAATAAAAGTGGACGTGTGCGCTCCAAACGAAGGGAAGCCTGGGAGAAAAGCAAATAGGGACTTTGTTAGAGAAATCACCATATGACAATTGTCTTGTAGGTGCAAAAGAGACCATTCCCTTCCTTTAGGTGTAGTGGTGTCCTGGTTACACACTGGGGTGGGATTCGTAGGCTCGGCAGTTCGAAATCACCAGCAGTTCTGAGGGAGACAGACTGTGACGTCCAGTGACGTCCAGTGAATCTCAGAAACCCACAGGGGGTCACTAACTCCAAGGCAGGGAATTTGTTTTGTTTTGTTTTGTTTTTAGGAAACACAAACAAAAAGAATATTTCCTATCTTAGGAAACACCACAAAACCACTAAGTGTTTAAGAGTAAGTTACAGTATCATGCATCATTCTCTCATTACTTCTGGGCTTGCATATCTGTTTGTCCATCCTCCTGTAGCTATAGGGAGAGAAATGACCGAAAGGAGTTGATCAATAAAAGGAGCAACTCCTAGAAAATGTTAGATCATTTCTTTTCTCCTGTGGAATTTTTACAAACAAAAGAATAGGGTTTAAAAAAAGGGATCATCATACGCAAAATGAGAAGCAGTGACCACGACTATTAGACTCTGACGGTGCCCCAGTCATCCCTTCCCGTCGCACGACTGTGGGGCAACTGCAGAAATCCAAGGCTTTCCACCACGGCTGAAACACAAAAGGCACCATTTCTGTGACCTAGTTCCCCCTCATGTCACAAAAATTAAGAGCGCGTGTGCAACCTGGCATTTGGACATCGGTCTAACTTTTCTATCAGTGAAGATGAGCAAGGGAGAACATTTGCTTTCTCCATCTTTGAGTCTTCCTCTTGTTTGGAAGACAGCCATTCCTAATATTTTGGGAGCTGAAACATTAACGCTTCTTTGTCTCTTTCAATAACCAAGGGTAAGAAATGAGAAGTGCTGTCTAAAATGTCTTTGCTTTCCTCTTCTGATCTCACTACTGGGATCTTATTACACCTGACCTTTATTAAAACTCAAAGTTCCAAAAGTTATCATGAGTTCTGTTACCAAGAAAAATTTTAATCTAATCACACACTCATACGTAAAGTTATAAATCTAGTTATAGTGAAATGATTAGCTGAAAGGTGGCGAGTAACAGTTTACCAATAAAAATAATAATAATAATAATAATAATAAAGCTAAAACTGATGTTGGAGGCATTACACAACACACAAGACAAATCTCTAGTCTTGCTTTTCAGATATCTACATCTTGGGTCTGATTGGGTGATCCTGGGGAAATCACAGCTGATCTTGGAGAGAACACTGGACCAGATTCCTAGGAATGTCCCTTGCTGCGCTGAAAATCCCACGATTCTATTACGTCACAGCAGCTGTGAAAACACATTCATGCCCCAGCTACCGATAATCATTCAGAAGTCCTTAATCCCTTGAGGGGCAATCGATATAGCCTCCGATCTCAAATATGTCACAAAGTAGATTTGTATGGGCATAATCCCAGAGACCACAGCAAAGTGAAAAATAGAACTCAACAAATACATGTATTTTAGTGGCAGGATTGTCTGATTGTTTTTTTAATAGAAGGAAAAGATGACCAAATTTTTCTTTACCCAAACTGGAATAAAATCTTCAGGTGCAGGTTATGACAATATTTTATGTAAGGAAAGCTGAAGAAGTGAATGAATTTACAGGTGGGGAAGCCACCTCAATTGGCAAGCAACAGCCCAGATTCATATGCAATCAAGTAATGCCTGTCTTTAGTGATCTGGAAATTAACTGCTTGCACACACAGCTTCTTTATGTGTGAGATTGCATCGCTGTTTGTGGTAGTTACATAATCCAGTGTCAATTTGGGACTTGAGAGGATTAAGAGTGAAGGGGTGGAGTCTAGTCTGTCAATCGGATCATAGCCAATGAGGCCTCTGTGTGGGCATGGCCTTCTCCTGAGAATTCTAGGAAATCCTGATTTTCCTCCTTGGAGGGGGGAGACACTTTCTCTCTCTGCTGACTTCCTGCAAGACATCCCTGAGGAGAAGCTACATGGACCTAACCTGATGCAGCCCTGGGAACTGGAGGAGCCACATGGAGACCCCTGCCAGTGCTAAGATGCTTACAATGCCACTGATCCAAAGACTTTCTACTCACTGGCCTGTGATCGTCCTGCATTTGGCATCATTGCATGTGTTTTGTGAGTCTGAAGAGGGCTTTATAGATTGGTATCAGA